CCCCAACCACACTCCCACTGTTCAATCCATGACGGAACAGCTGTATCATAAGGTATTGTACTGACAAGAAAAAGAAACTGACAGGAAGGGAATACAGCGCTCAGCTTAATCCCTATTTTGATGTCTTTTTTAAAATTTTTTATCTACCATCGTTTTCGTTGTTGTTGTTTTGTTATTGTTGCTGTTGTTACTGTTGTTACTGTTGTTGCTGTTGTTGTTTTTCGTAGGTATCGAAATTTTGCTTTTGCTCTTAACTGGTTTCATTATTATGACGTGGTTTCTTTCGTTTGTTTTTGTTTTTGTTTTTTTTGGCCAAGGGTGTGGTTTGGAGTCAGGGATGGGGTTCATATTTTGTAAAAGGAAAGGTGGGGGGAGGGGGGGTTCTGAAAAATAATGTTTGACTTTGATACCGAGCTTGATCTCAACCTGTGATCTTAATTGCCACCAAAGTCTGCCTGAAGCAGCTGGGGACAAGGAGTCACTTAGTTATAGAAGATTCTGTGTTTTCAGCATACGCTCGATGTAGAACTTTGTATTGCATATTTATTTGTCTTTTCATTTGTGTTATAGTTTGTTTGTACTTTTATTGTTTTTTAAAGCTGGCTTTGTTTGAACAGCTTGGTGCAAACGTGTAGACAGGTTGGGTTAGTGATATCCCCAAGTAGCCCCCCCCCCCTCCCGTTTTTCGAAACTGTATGCTCCACATGAGTGCGCTGATTGTGTGATTGGTATCACACTGGACCTCGCGATGGATGACCCTGGTTCGAATCCCTAGTGCGGTATTCTTAATGTTGGTTGTTTTGGGTGAGGTTTAATGGCTTTCTACACATTTTGATTGGTCCTATCGGGGGTAATTAATGTTAAATTCAACGTAGCGTAATCTTAAAACGTTGAATGGGGAGGGGCGATTAACTTATACAAAGAACAAAGATACTTTCTAAAATATTTTTTGTTGTGCGTTATTGAAATAGTTTTTCTGCGTGTAGGAGTGGGTGAGACCAAGTATAGTAAAAGTTTTAATACCCGTTTCAACGCTGTAAGACTACTAAAGAGGCAATACCTCCGTAAATAGCGTCCACCGCCGACTGGATCGTGTTAAGTAGGTGTTGAGATTTGAAAACCCTTCAAACAACCCATAATATATTCATAAACATTATTGTTGGGATTCGAACCAGAGTCATAGACACCACAGCTTCACACGATGGCAACAAAACTAACGATGGATATTTTGTGTAAAAGAGAAGTATATTATAATTTGTTTTCCATCGTATAAGTTATGGCGTGAGTCATGTTCAGCACACTAAAACGAACGCTTTGAAGAAAGAAAAATAGTTTCATCTATTTGTATAAACACTTTGACATCTTAGTGTTTAGTATAAACCCCAGCCATAAGCCATTAATTGAAATAGTGGTGTATGGAAAAGTCTTACCCTGAGCAGTCGATTTGCGACGATTGTTACGCCCCCATCGACGCAGTCTAGGTCATTCAGAGGACCGAATGCTTCGTTCTTATTTGTCAGGGGAAGCTATCAGAGCTGGGCATTTCCGGTGAACACCAATTGAATTGTATCGATATCATTTAAAAGTGTGCGGCTCTGATAGTGCATGGCTTTGATACTTAAAACAAAAATCGAAAGTGCGCGTCTTGATACTTCAAGTTTTCAACCCTGCTTTTTTCAGGACAATCAAGGGCAGAGAGGTGTGCAGCACCCCAACACACAGACGGGGACATGAAGTAACAATTCGGGTGCACCCTCAAAGGACAAACGTAATGTTTGCAAGACTTTGAACTAAAATCCTCGGAAAGACACACTTCTTGTCGATGATACTCTGGTCGTTCGATACCAGTTTTTTTTTATAGTTTTGATACACAAGAAAAGTGAGTGTTGGATAAAATAGCTGAAATATATATTACTTTTAATATTTGATTATACGTGACTGAAATAAGCAGTTGCAGACCGTTTCCGACTCAAGATAATCCATCAGAATCTGCATTTAAACGGGTTGTGGACCGTCACATTATCCAACCCGTTAAAACGCTCCGTGTTTTTTTTTGGGTACTTTATAATGAATTATTTTGTACCGTTTTCGTCTTATCTAATGGTATTCTCTCCGCCCCCCCCTCTTCCACTCCGTCCTTTTAAAAAAAGATCCCGCCCGCACATGTTTCCTTCTGGAAAAGGAGTCAGGCTGTGTCCATGTAGTAGTGTTCGGCGCTTGCCATCGTTTTCAAAGGCTTGACTTCGATCACGGGAGAATTTTTATTGAGTTTCTCGGTTCTTCAGCTCGTGTTGGTCGTAGGAATGAAAGTCAAACCCCACCTTTTAAGTTACCTAAACTGTGTCATTGCAGGCGTAAAATACCAACATAAATAATGGATCCAGACTGTTACGGGTTTGAAACCTGGCTCCACAGAGTTCATCCTAGTCTGCGACGCCTCTCCTTCAAACCAGCCGCCACTTTGGCCTCGTAGTTCTAGAGAACAAGGGAAGACAACCCTGCCTGCACCGCCCAGGTCCCCTCGTCTGGAGAGGCCTTTGTTTGGCTCGCAAACAGACCCGGACGTCCGTAAGTGGTCTATTGTGGTCCAGGGTAAATACTCTGCTCTAATATATGCATAAATCTGCTTTGTTTTCGAAAGAAGGCAAATGTGCGGACGTGCACTGCCGGCCCGGGAAAAGTAAATTGAATTGCTGAACTATTTTCTTTCGAGAGACTTCGCAATGACAGCGCTAATAACACATGGTTAAGTGCCGGCCCTGGGGGAGAGGCGGGCAATTTGGGCTCTACTCTTAAACGTCTCTGGCTGGAACTTTCTCGAGAGTTTTTCTTTTCTCCTAATAGCAGCAGAACACCGTTGGTTATTGCAGTGGAGTTGATAACGAACCCGCTTGACTTGTATGTGGGAGTTTTGGGTACGAACCCAAATGCGATTGGGCTTTTTTTTCTTATAATTCCTGGAATATTTCTTCTCAGATAATATTATATGGGGGCAAAGTACAACTCCCTGGCCTTCTTAACTCATTCTTTTGGGTTCGGGAGAGGGGATAAATAGAGGGTGAGGGTGTCCTCTACTTTCCATAAGCGTGACGTTACGCCTCACCCCCACATGAAAACAGCACAACTCAAAGAAAATCAAATAATTTGAACAAAACAATTAAATACATCCCTAGATAAAATTCAAACTCTGATTAGGTCAGGCTATGGGAGGCTTTGTGCAATGAGCGGCTTTCATTGGGTGGGTTTCCAAATGCCCTTCTCAGTATCGTATTTGAAAGACGAGGTACATGTATTTCATTTAACATTTGAACTCCGATAGGTGTAGAATCTTGAATATTCTTCGAATCAGTCACTTTTAAGAATGATTTCCTCCTGTAAATCGAGACTACCTCCATCTGTATCGCTGGCCGATATGATATCCAACGAGCTAACGGCATGTCCACACCCAATGCTTACGTCATCAGCGTTTGTGTTCACGGTCAGACCACGTTTTTATTTTGTTTGCTTTGTGTTTTTGTTGTTGGTGGTTGTTATTGCTATTATTGTTTTTATTGTAGTTATCATGATTGTATTTGTTGCTGATTTTGTTATACCTGTGTTGCAATTTATTGCTGTTGTTAATATATTGACATCCCCTGAGTTATTCTCTCTGTAGGTCAATATCGGTCTAGAGTAGATGCCGGTGTGCAGAAGGAGCGAGCCGCCAGTAGGTTATCCGTTTTTCTTCCCCTCTGTATTTTCTGTTTGTCAAGGTAAACAGCTTTTGACCCGCACTACACGGCCATGGCCGCCTCTGTGTAGAAAACAATTAGTAATTATAATTAATTCATGTTAAGGACGTTTGTTTTTTTGTTTGTGTCGTTGTTGTTGTTGTTGTTGTTTTTGTTGTTGTTGTTGTTGTTGTTGTTTTTGTTGTAGTTGTTGTTGTTAATGACGATGAAGATGATGATGATGATGATGATGATGATGATGATGATGATGATGATGATGATGATAATGTAGATAGTGATTATGATGGTGGTGGTGGGGCTGTCTCTTTTTTCTTTTTTGTGCAACATTTGACGAAATTTCTAAGAAGTAAATCAGCAACTTAACAATATCTTGTTGTTGAACATGGATAAATCTGGATGTGAAAATAGCTCTCACTTCACGTAGTTTTTTTTTCTCAAATTGTTAGGAATGTGAGGATATATGTGCTCGCGAGTGTGTGGTGTGTGTATGTGGGAGGGGGGGGGGATATGAAAGCAGCACACAATAGAGTGTTGGTACATGTTTTGAACCTCGAAGGAAAATAACGTACCTCTCTTAGAAGGCAAGCTGCCTCGTCTCTTCGAAATACGTCTACCACTGACTTTGTGGGGTATTGTATACCAGCAAAATGGCGAAGTTACTCAATAGTATATGAGGAGTCCACTGAAAAAAACGGGCATAGTCACAAACTAAAAATCGAGAGGGTATCAATTTTGAACACTTGTTGACTCATAACTGTATATTTTCTGTTCAGCTGTTTGTTGATTATTGTTATTAGATTTCCCATCCAACAAACATTAAACCACCAGCCACACAAACATGAAGTTATAGGTCCACAAGCTTTCAAAATTGTCACCCTCACAATTTCCAGTTTGTGACTCTGCCCGTTTTTTTTTCAGTGGACTCCTTATATTTTCCCCTCCAGGGAATTGAACTCAGTCCTATTGCAGGCAGAACAAGGAGGCATACCATATCTTCACAAACGCCGTTTAAGATATGAACCTTAATAAACCGGGGACACCTAGAATAACTCAATTCTGATCTGATGGAACGCATTTTTTGTCAATCTCAGGAAGAAAAATGTGTTTTATCAGATCACATGTGACTTATTTGTTTGTTTGTCTTTAGCTCAAATTCAATTAAATTTGATTTAGCCTTGGTAAATAAGATATATCTTCATGTGAGATAGTCATACAAAATCAACAATGCTGTTTGTTTGTGTAATTAGCGAAAAACACTAAATCGCGACTTTCTCGAACCTTGATTTTGAGAAAAAGGTGTTTTATCAGATCATGGCAGACTGTCCTCTCTGGAATCATCAGCTCTTTTTTGAGGAAGAAGAAGTTTACCCACCCGAGGGGCGGAGTGGAAGAGGGAGAGGGAAAGGGGAGGGTGTGCACAGAAAGGTGGGAGGAAGTGTGGCTTGGTGGAACCTAAAACTGAAAAATGATATATAATATTCATAGATAAGCCGCCATCGAAAGGGATGGAGAGTTTATCGTGTACTTTGTACTGACAGTTCTGTAGTGTGCAAAGGGAGGTAAATATTGGCCGGTTTTGGAGAGGCTGTCTTCTCACTGTGCCGCGATAAGGGAAAAGTAAAGTGAACTGACAATGCCTTGACACCTTACGGCTAGCTGACTGCCGGGGGATACGAGATAAACTTGACATTTGGGTCGTAGTTGGTGAATGTGAAACTGAGGCTGGGCGTTTGTAGATATATTTTTATGATGGGTGTGTGTGTGGGTGAGGGGGGGGTATTTGTGTGT